GTGTTCCTATTATCTGTCTGTCTGTCTGTCTGTCTGTCTCTATCCCAGCCTTTTCATTTTGTTCTCATGAATGAAGACTCCCCGGAAAAAATCAGAAAAGAAATTCAGATCTCGTGCCTCTGTGTGTGTTGTGTGTGTGTGTGTGTGTTGTGTGTGTGTGTGTGTGTGTCGGACTGAGCCCAACGCCCGTCTCATTGGAGGTTGATAAGATTGTGACAGAGTTTTAATAACGTGGCCCATCTATTTGAGCGGGGTCCTTAGCATGCCTCTTTTATTCGTCCCCAAAGGCCTCGTTCAGCCAAAAGCTCTTTTCACTCCAGTCTCCTCGGCCTGCTCCCTGGGGAGACTGGGGTCGACGGAGAGTGATAGATAGATAACTCTATAGATTATCTTTCACAGATGTTTTCTCTCAGTAGCCCCTTCGGCAATTCCCTCTAAGTAAACAGAGACGGAAAGGAGGGGAGGAGATATTGGAGAAAGAGGTCTGCCCAAATTCCCTTTCAGAGGAAAGGGCGGAAAAACTGAGATTGAATTTTTCCCACCTCGTTCCGCTCGTCCCACCATCCTTCAAGTCTTCCCTCTCGAGAAATCCAATGCCGTGATTTATTTATTTTTTTGCGCGCCGTCTTTGCATAAGGACAAAGTCAAATCCTTCCCCGAGGATGGGGGTGGAAATTTGGGTGCGTCTTATACACCGAATGTGGCCCCGCTCGCCCCCTGGCCCCTTCACCCTTTGGCCTCTGCCTCCCAGCAATTTACCTCCTTGCAGCAAGCAGCAAGAAGAAACAGCCCATTTCAGCTTCAGCGCAGCCTAATTAGCACAGTTGGATCAGCCTCCCGACTCTCAGCTGTTTCAGGCAGCAGGGATTGTCATGGCCGATTGCTGCGCGGGATTTTGCTGCTTGCTGCAAGGAGGTGAATTGCTGGGAGCAGATTTTTTTTTTCCCCCTTGTGCTAATCAAGCTATGCTGAAAACGAAAATGAAAGTAAAGCAGGATGTTTGCTGTTTGCTGCAAGGAGGCAAAATTGCTCAGAGGCAGAGGGAGATTTCTTGTTCTTCTTTTCCTCACCCCAAAAGGTAGGTGAGTCTTAAAGTCTGAAAAAATACGGTAGCTCCTTCGGAAAGACTTCCCGGGCCATTGAGTTGAACTGTTTAACTCTCCAAGTTTTCACTTCTCTGGCCCCTGGTTTTAAAAACCCTAAAACCCACCCGTAAATTTAACACCCCATAAACTCCTGATGTTGATTCTTTTACTATGTGTTTAGGCTACAGCCTGGCTCAAATATTAGAATCGTTGGCGGTTTTATAATTTTGGGAGCAAGAAGGATGGAGAGCGACCGAGGCAGAGCCGCAAAATAGGTGTCCAAAATAGGACCCCAAAACTGGCCTTAAAAAGAGTTTTAAGAGCCAAAGCAAATTTAAAAAAAATTTTTTTTTTGCTTGGGATGTCGTGAATGTAAAAAAAAAAAAAGGGGGGGGGGAGTTTTTCCAGTGTATGAGATATTTCATAAAATAGCCGAGCATTTCTCTCCATGGGAACCTCTAAACTGCCATATATCTGTCGTTTGGAATAAGAAAGCGTCTCTCTGCGTAACTCCGGCCCAGAGGCACGTTCCATGAGTTATGGAGATGAACGGGGGTAAAAAGTTCAGCCTGGTTGAAGCTCCGCTGAGGTTGTCCCCTTTGCCAATTCATGTCCCCCACCAAATTCTGTTTCTGAAAGGGTTGGCTTATGGGCCACCTCTGGGGAGAAAAGGAAAAAGAGGAGGAGAAGAAGGAGAAGCAGAAGGAGAGAAGAGGAGAGGAGGAGGAGGAGGAGGAGGAGAGAGGAGGAGGAGGAGGAGGAGGAGAGGAGGAGGAGAAGAAGAAGAGAAGAAGAAGAAGAAAGAAGAAGAAGAAGAAGAAGAAGAAGAAGAAGAAGAAGAAGAAGAAGAAGAAGAAAGAAGAAGGGGAGGAAGGAGGAGGAGGACTTGTGGGGTCCTTGGTGATCTCTGAGCTTGGTGGTTTTCATCCATAGATGGATGGATGGATGGATAGATATGGATATGATAGATGGATAGAGATAGATAGATAGATAGATAGATAGATAGATAGATAGATAGATAGATATGGATGGATACTAAATTAGTGTTTCTCACCTTGAAAACTTGAAGAGTTATTAAATTTATTTATTAAACGTGTATGCCACGCAGAGTTCCTTTGGGTGGTCAGATGGGCAGCCTTGAAATTTAATAAACAAACTTCATAAAGAAAGGATTATGTGGGCTTCAACTGCATCCTGGCTGGAGAATTCTGGGAGTTGAAATCCACTCCTCCTAACACTGCCAAGGTGACGGAAACCCCCCCAAAACAAAACAGCACGAAACCCTCATCTCCATGCAGGGACGCAAAATGAGGATCCGACTTTATTATCATTGGGGACGAGTTCAGGGGCTGCTCCTGCCAGGTAATCCTCATTTTCACAGCAAGCGTGCCATCGCCGAAGGATGGTTGCGGGTTCATTCAACACAACAGGAGACAATTTGGCACAGAAAGCCAGGAAAAGGCGACGGAGAGGTGGGAACAAAGCTGAAAAGTCTTGGCCCCAAAAGAAAAGTTGGATGTTTGCACTTCTGAATCAACTTGGAAAACAACTGAGCTTCACCTGTAAAACCTGTAAACATCGGTATCACGCACAAAAATGTCGCCACAATCGAGAGCACCGACTCGGGGGAACCCAAGGAATCCATATAACGCCGCAAACAGCGAGATGACGGTATCATAAATTGAAAAAAATTAAATAAAAAGCAAGTTCAGCCAAATTCAGCCATCGCTAATTATCGGGCTTGCAATTAAAAACGATTAAAAAAAAAAAAGTTAAAATTTGAATTTCCACCCGGAACCGAAGACTAAAATCAGTTTTCGATCTTACCTTTTTAATGCAACCGTCCTGCAGGCCCGTCTCGGAATCCGTGAGCATTTCCTGGAAGGGAAAAAAAAAATAAAATAAAAAAAAGACTCCATCAGTTGACAGCTTGGGACGGGGACAGGGTTTGTAAGCTTCGGGTTCGAATGCAACAAAGGATTTTGGACCTCAAATTACCCAATCTCGGACGATCCCCCTCCGTGTCTCCCCAGCACCCCAAGATCCACGAGAAAAGAGGTGCGACATATTTTTCCTGCCTCTTTTGTCTCCGTAGGCTTCTAGATGAAGAAGGCTGCCCAATTTGGGGTAGAAACACAGGTGACTTACAACAGTTCGTTTAGGGACCGTTTCAAAGTTACGATGGCGCTAAAAAAAGCCACTTGGGACCGTCTTCGCGGTTACGACCTTTATACCATCCTCGCGGCCATTGGTCCAGAATGAGATAAGGCAGAGGTGGGTTGCATATAATTTTACCACCAGTTCGCCGCAAACAAAAAATGTGAGTGCACAGCTTAGAAAACGTGGCTAAATAGGATGGCACGGCGTCGCGGCAGCGCGGCGGGGAGGCAGCTCCACCCACAGGTTGCCACTACCGTTTCACTCGAAACCGGTCTGAACCGGCTAAATACCTGTTCTGCCCCAGCTACGGACCCCAAAGAACGCAGCACACACAAAGTCCATAGAAACCTTGGTTTAGTAATTAAGGACTAGTAATGAGCTTTCTTAGTAGTTGTTCGAACACAAGTACAGTATAGATCAGTCTTTCCTGAAAAACCGGTGTCCCCATGCGCGCTGGCCAGCTGATTTTTGGGTGCGCATGCACGCCAGAACCCGGAAGTTCGGCTTTTCCGGAGTGCAGTCCCAGTGAGGGCACATGTGCACGTTTGATGTTTCCGCGCGACCTTTTGGGCACTCGGTGCTGAAAAAGTTTGCCGTCACTGGCATGGCGCCTGGGATGGGAGGGTGGGGAGGTGGGGGGGGGCAGGGGTGGTAGCCCCCCCCCACAGTCACCATGGCTAAATACCACCACTGCTGTCCAGTCTTCTTTAAAAAAAAAAACCCCACAACCCCCTCCCCCAAATTGTTTGTGATGATCACAACATTCAAGGAAACAAACATTTAGATGGACCCAAAATAGCTAAAAATCTATTTTCTGGGAAAAGCCAGCCTCGCGTAGGATCCCTCTGGTATAAAATTCTCTATTTAGCCGTGGACCTCCGTGGCCTTTCCAGACCGATGTAGATATTTTTTTTCTTTTCTTTTTTGCAGGCCCAGATTCAGGCTGCTAAAAGAAAGAAAGAAAGAAAGAAAGAAAGAAAGAAAGAAAGAAAAGAAAGAAAGAAAGAAAGAAAGAAAGAAAGAAAGAAAGAAAGAAAGAAAGAAAAGAAAATCTCATTTTCCCCCCCTCCCTCCTCCTCCTTCCGTGTTGGAAAAACCAGAAAGCGTTTGGGCCCTTTTGAGATTATTATTATTATTATTATTTTGGGTGGGTTTTTTTTTTTTTTTGCAACTCCTCCCCTACTTTTGGGTAACTAAACATGTCAGCAGACGCCATGCGAATCTTTTTGAAGCACAGTTTACGAGCTGCCATGCTCCGTCTGCATTTAGCTCTAATTTGATTACATTCTCCAGACAGATCACAAATGATTTGTGTAAATAGTAATATTACCCATTCAGCCCCGTGCGCACTCAAATAAATCGTTAGGCCGCCGTGTGTGTGTGTGTGTGTGTGTGTGTGTGTGTGTGTGTGTGTGTGAGGGTGCATGCAAAATCACCGGGGAAATACGAAGGGGAAGGCAATTTTAAAAGGATGCCAAACAGCTGTTTGGGGCCGCTTAGGATAACATCTGGATGAGGGTTTTTTCCTTCCTTCCTTCCTTCCTTCCTTCCTTCCTTCCTTCCTTCCTTCCTTCCTTCCTTCCTTCCTCTCTCTCTCTTTCTTTCTCTTTCTTTCTCTCTTTTCTCTCTCTCTCTCTCTCTTTCTTTCTCTCTTTCTTTCTTTCTTTCTTTCCTTCTTCTTTCTTTCCTTTCTCTTTCTCTTCTCCCTTCTTTCCTTCTTTCTCTTTCTCTCTCTTTCTTTTTCTCCCTCTCTCCCTCCCTCCCTCCCTCCCTCCGTCTCTCTCTCTCTCTCTCTCTTCTGTTTCTTTCTCTCTCTTAAAGAGGCTTTGCGGGACTAAGATTGTGCTTTATACTTTCTAAGGAAGCCCAGGTCAGAACACAGGACAAGAAGTAATGGGTGGAAGTTCATCAAAGAGAACTAGAATAGAATAGAATAGAATAGAATAGAATAGAATAGAATAGAATAGAATAGAATAGAATAGAATAGAATAGAATAGAATAGAATAGAATAGAATAGAATAGAATTGAATAACTGTTGTGGTCTGCCTGCAGCCTGCGGAGCTGGCAGTGGAGTTGGACAGTAAGGAGGCTGGGGAGGACCATGGGCCAGTCCTGGGGTCTGGGGAAGGCCCGGATGAGGGCTCTGCATCAGAGGCAGAGATGGGGCCAGGGCCATCTTGGAGTGATGCATGGACTCTGGAGCCTCCAGAGTCGGACAGCAGAGAGGCAGAGGAACAGGAGGAGCCTGTTCCTAGTGCACGCATGCGAAGAGCTGCCAGAAGGCAAGAGCAGTTGAAGCAAAAAGGACAACTCGGGAGTAAGGCCAGGAGATGATTGGCCCCTCCCATAAGACTTAAAAGAGCAGCAAAAGCTCTTGGGCTCTTTGTAGGAAAGCAACGTTGCTAACTCTGTTTCCAGTCGGCGTCTGTCCTTTCTGAACGTCGTGGGGCTTTGCCAAGAAAGGCCTTTGGCAAGGTGCCAAAGAAGATAAGCCCGAAGGACTTTATCTGAAGGACTTGTTTTGGAATTAATTTGGACTAAGCTGGGAATGAAATAATTCTCAGCTGTTATAATAAAATAGGTTTGTTTTGGGACTAATTGTGTCTTGTACTGACTTTGTGAGCCTAGGTCACAACAATAACAGAGTTGGAAGGGCCCTTGGAGGTCTTCTAGTCCAACCCTCTGCTTAGAGCAGGAGATCCTACACCACTTCAGACAAATGGTTATCCAACCTCTTCTTAAAAACTTCCAGTGTTGGAGCATCCATAACATCTGGAGGTAAGTGGTTCCACTAGAACTAAGGAGACATTTTCTGACAGTGAGAACAATTAATCAGTAGAATAGCTTGACTCCAGGAAGATGTGGTCATTGGAGGTTTTCAAGAAGAGATTGGACAATCATTTGATGGGGATGCTGTGAGGCTCCTGCCATGAGCAAGGGGTTGGACTAGAAGACCTCTGAGGTCCCTCCTGACCCTCTTTGACTCGTCCACCACCATAGCTATCAGCGGGAAGGGGACATGAGGAAGCAAGAAATGTCACGACATCCGTCCCTTGCTGTGTCTTTCTCGGGCGAAGCTTAAATCAACGGCGCGAAAGAATCTTTGATTTTTAATATCTGGAGCTCCGAATCTCGCTTCAATAAAGCAAAGTAGGGAATAAATTAAAGGGGGGGGGTGAGGATGGGGCAGCACCCTTCCATTCATTTCCAGCAACCTTTTCCGCGCGAGGGGTGACCTCCGTATCGACGAAAGGATAAAAACGGGAGATGGATTTCTTCGAGGGCTGCTGGGGATATTGAGAGCCGGTTGGTTAGGATGATGTGACTGTAATCGTAATACCTAAATGAGGAATGTTGTATTTCTTCGGGGGGGTTATGAATGCAGATTGTCTTCTAGGTTAACTTTGCCGCTTAAGGTGCTCCGATCCTTAAGGAGGAGCGCGAAAATAAACCTGGAGGAGGATTGTTCAACCTATTTTCAACCCGTTTTTCCAAAGCGCCCAAAAGCCGAGACGACGAACGATGGACGGAAAGCGATCAAGGAGAGATACGACTTAGAAATAAGGGGAAATTTCCTAAGAGCGAGAACAATCCACCGGTGGAACAGTTTGCCTTTAGGGATTGTGAGTTGCTCCAACATTGGAGGTTTTTAAGAAGAGATTGGTCAACCATTGGTCTAAAATAGTAGATGACCTACAAGATCCCTTCCGACCCCGTTATTCTGAATTTCTGTAATCCCAGGTCAACTCACCAGTGGGACGACTGGCCTTCAGAGGTGGTGGATGACTCCATCACTGGAGGTTTTCAATAAAATGATATCGGGTCTTGTTATTCTGTATTTCTCAGGCTGTTTTTTTTTTTCCCCCCTTCTTCTTTTCCTTCTAAGTTATCTGACAATTTAATCTGACCTGCTACCTTGACAGAAAAGATGGAGAGTGTCAGATTGATACCCAACAGCCCCCAAACCACCACCCCCCACACACACAACCTCTCTCGCAAGGTCTGACTTAGCCTGTCCAGCAGGCAGAATGAATCGACTCCCCCTTCGCAGGATCAAGCCAAGCGGCATCCGGAGAGTGACACAAATCAAATCGTCAGCCATCTGTCACTTTGAAAAGTCCCAGCGAAGTAGAAAAGATAAACCTTTGCCGGTCTACTAAAAATAAACCCCATCGCTCCGTTCTCTCGGGCTGACCGATTCAAAAAGAAAGGAAGAAAGAAAGAAAGAAAAGAAAGAAAGAAAGAAGGAAGGAAAGGAAGGAAGGAAGGAAGGAAGGAAGGAAGGAAGGAAGGAAGGAAGGAAGGAAGAAAGAAAAGAAATGAGAATTTTTTCCCGAGGCATTTTGATCAAAGGGAGTTTGGGTGAAATGACTCCGAAAAGGAGATCTGGAGAAGGTACGGATGCAAAATTATTGTTTTTTAAAGCTATTTTACACAGCCTCCCTGGCCTGGTCCTGTTTAATCCCAGGAGGAAAATCCTAGTAAATCCTAGTTTGTTTGTTTTTTCAAAACTTTACAGAAAGAAAAAACAAAAAGGAAGTAAATTGAAAAAAAGTAAATTGAGATTTTTTTTGACATAAACTTCTGGGTGCGGATTGAGAGCGGCGAAACCGCTTTGCATGAGCGGCGAAAACGTCTGCGTTAGAGGTAAGTCCTCGACATATGGCTGCCATTGAGCCCAAAAGTTCTGCGGCCGAATGAGAAGGTTTGTTAAGTGA